TTTTTAGGTTTTTTTGCAGAACACTGAAAAATGTAGGCATAAAAAGAACACAGTGTAACTCCCAGAGACAAGATACCAATCTCTCAGTGGTTGAAAGACTCAACATTGCAAACCACTTTAGATCTAGATGCAACTGTGTTGACAATATATACTCGGGTTTTTGTTTCCAGAGTAATACTGCACGTCTTGTTTATGAACAGATTTCATCCAGCAAAAACCAGCCACAACACTGAAAGGCTACTGGTAGCATTTTCAAATACGCTTAATGATTTTTTGTTACGTTATTACAAGTCATATTTTTCAGCTGATGGAGACATACCTTTGTTCTCTTGGGCACAAAAATCCCAAAGATGAAGTATTTCACAAAACCTGACAGTTAACTAGTCTACTTTGTAAAAAGTAGATCCTCTGAATCATGTCATCATAACGTACAGATTATGAAAAAGCTACACATGTTGGAAGATGCACAACAAAATATGTGCTTTGTTATAAGCGGCTTAGAAAAAATTAGGCCCCAGTGCTGACATTGCTACCTTTGATGCTACTGCTTAAGGCAAGCTGGTTAAAACAAAGTGAACGCTTGCCAAACAGTAATACTTTGCATGTCGAAATATTTTTACCTTTATCATTTCAGGATCATGACACTGATTAAACTACAGGATGTGAAGCACCTGTGTAATTTCACATGGTAAAATACTAAAACCTTGTTGAATATCACATATAAGTTTCAAGATATTGGTAACAATCAAAAGGTAACACATTTTGAGGAACCAAAAGTCCCATATAAGCATGCCGGCACAGGACACACAAATGTTTCAAAGCAAAGCCAGAGAAAGACTGTATTTACTTTTTCCCTTTAAGCGACAGGAAAAAACAACTAAATGCTGAAACATCTGATAGCCCTTTCAGAAAGTTTATTTCCTCTTTTTTCACCAGATCATGGGAACATCCTCAGTTGGACAAACAATGAAGGAGCAAACAAACCAACTTGTAATTACCTACTTCCAGTTATATAGAGAGATAGGCCAACGTTTATTCTACAGAGTGAAATTTTAACCAAAATGCTTATGCTGGCCAGGAACATGAAAAATATTATGATTCTAACCCACACAACAATGCTGCCAAAATCTTTCATACAGATGCAGTTACACTGGCAAAAGACAAACAGAAAAAATAGTATTTTGCCTGAATAAAGTACTCCATACTGCTGAGGAGGGTAAAAATACACAAAACTGGGTCTAGATGCACTAGGGTAAGTTTGTCTCAGCTCAGCTCCCATGAAAAGTGCTTTTACAAGCACGCGAGTCTTGAACAACAGAATCTAGAAATGAAATTGCTTCAAACTTCCACATTTTTTCTAATTAGAAGTTCTATTTTTCTTATTAAACTGACACATCTCTTTAAGCGTGCTTCTTTCACCTCTCTTTTGTTTGTATGTTCGCTTGTTGAAGTTTTGCCAGCATGCATGAGGATAGATGACAGACGTGCTGTGTTTTCAGTAATTAAGAGAAGCTGCAGCAAGCATGCTGTCACAGAACGCAGCGCTGGGCAATGGTGACGATGAAGAGTCTACAGCTACCTGAGTGGAATTTTGCACTGGGGACAAATGTGGCCCCCGTAATATAGCTCCCTCCTAGATGACTGCAGAAGAGCTTCTGGGAGAGAAGAGCAGGGCCTAGCCAGAGAAACAGTAAAAACCTAGTGATCAGCAAGCAACAGCACTAGTGAAGTACAAAGAGTATGAGCAATTACTTGGGATAAGTGCAACAGAAGAAAACTGAAAGCTAGTGTGCTGGACATCAAGTAAATTAGATCTTTCTCTCCCATGGGAAGGAATTCTGATGATGTAAAATATAATGTTCTCCTACTCAAAAAGAAGAGGAAGATACTAAAAAGCACTGACTACTTTAAAATTGATTCTCCAGCTTCCCTCCCCACTTCCTCTGGAAGCTTTTTTCTCTGTGAAAGATTAAGAGTGATTACTGAGAGTTGTTTGAACAAGCATGTTGGTTGTGAACTTCATCTGAATCCAACTGCAGAAAGGAAGAAATGCCATTTGTTATGTAGTTCTCCACAATATGCAACAAATAGGCCTCATGCTGAACACTTATTATGTACTTGTGCAGTTAAAAAAAAAGACAGAAGAGATCACTTATAAACGGGAAGACATCTGAATACGGTTCTTGTTGCTATTTGTAAGGAGCATTCTCTTACCAATGTACTTTTCATTCCAGTGTTTTTTCCTATAGGAAGGACACCTCAGAAAAGGTGACATACAGGCAAGATCATGAGAAAGAAGCATTTCAGCATTGTTTAATTATGCTGATATTATTCACTGATGGCAAACAGTGGTCAAACACTGAAAAGGCTTCCTTGAGAGGTGGTCAATGCCCCTTGGTCATTGCCCCAAATGCCAATGTTTAAGAGGCATTTGGACAATGGCCTTAATAAATAATATGCTTTAACTGGGTCAGCCCTGAACTGGTCAGGCAGTTGGACTAGATGATCATTGTAGGTCCTTTCCAACTGAAATAGTGTATTCTAGTTTGAAAGATGTTTGTACTGACATGTTAAGATGAGGCTGGTGAACTCTGTTCAGTGTTTTTCTTGAAGAGTTCATAAAAAAAACTGAAGAAAAAGAATAAAATTGTTATATGTTGCTCTGTATTTCTTCAGCCTGGAAAAGAATGTGCACCCCAAATCCTGTCCTCAATTAAAGACATGAGATGCTGTAACAAAGACACAAGTGAACTCTGAGAAAATCCCAGTTTCTTTTCAGTGGTTACAATAATTACAGGTTTTGAGTGGGCAGGGAAAGATATTTCAACTCAAACTGTGAAAGAAAATCCATTTTATACCTATACATGAGACACATTGCAAAAACACTCCATCTGTGCAGAAATATGAGGCCTGGAAAAGTGCCAGGGTTTCCAAGTGTGACCTGCTGTGCAAATGCTGATTATGCAAGTTAAAGCTGTCTGAGGTAAATTTATGTTCCCTGTTTTCCAGGGCTCCAAATAACATTCCACCGCTTACAGAATCCATGTCAAACTCCAAACTTTTATCTGACAAGTTTTCAAGATTCTTGGCAGGTGCTGTAAAGCACAATTCCTTTCCATTTGCAAAATGAAAATTAGTTTATTCCAAATATGATACTGAGGCAAAAATGTATATCCAAAACCTTCAGGAAAGATCAAGTCCTGGTCACTTTTGCTTGAATCATTTACAGAAACTTCTACGGCTTATTTCAAAACAACAGCAAAACAAGTGACTTGCAGCATATCTCTTCTCAGGACATTTATTTAAGCATGCATGTCCATCATTATCTTGAAACCCTAAAAAAAACTTTTATAAGTCAGCAGCTGCCTAGATTCCCAGATTCAATGCCAGAACAATTCAGACTGGATAGGACCTCACCTTTATCTTAAAAAGCAAGGCTAACTTCAACACTAGATCAGGCTACTCAGAGCCTTGTCTGAATCCAAACTTTACCTATACCCAGGAATGGGGTTTCCACCACCGCTTTGGGTCACTGCTTCAGTCCTTGGATAGCCTCACTGGGAAATCCTTTTACCCAAAATGAATTTTTCCTGGGGCAATTCGTATGCATTGACCATTACACTTTCACTGTGCACTTCCAAAAAAAGAATCCATCTTCTGTACAAACACCCCTTAAGGAGTTGAAGACAGCAGTAAGAGGTCTCCTTCACCTTTTCTTCTGGAGACTAAACAAGCCCAGCTCTTTCTTCTGCTCCTCATACATAACGTCTGCCAGCCTCTAGCTATACACGTTGGTTGCACTCAGCTGGACTCATTCCAGTTTCTCACAGCTGCTACTATCATCATTTCATGTAATTTAAAAAAGATTGCTGTACAAAAGATGACCAAGCACTAAGGTGACAGTTATTTAAACACTGAATGGTTATTCCATGTGAAATGTTTTACAAGCAAAGAAAAATGTGATGGTAACACCACCCTGCTTTTAAAAAGTATGAAGCAGGCTTTATACCCTGAAAAAGCTCCATACAGCATTCCTCCCCCATTTTATTTATTTTAAGAAAACTAGGTTATATATACATGCCTATTAAAGCTGATAGAAATACATGATACCAAAGTGCTGTTGAAGGAGCTGATAAAAGAGTGATTTGTGACAAGGCATTCCCAGCAGCAGTGACAGTGCCAAGCTCGTGTTTTCAAGACGACTGCTGCCTGTAAAGTTCTGGTATTGACTTATTTTTTTAAGAGATAGTGATGGCCTCAAATTTCCACCTTGAATATGAATCTGCTCTGAGAACTAAGCATAATTTCACCAAAATGGTACTGCTGCAGCATGTCAGTAAACACTACTAGCTAATTTTAATAGCCAGGGGGTCATCTTTGTCCATCATGTGCATATGCATGTGGTCTTCCCTTCCGAGAAAGGACTATGAAGTGAAATGAGCAGGCTGAGCATAGAGATGTCTCCATAACAATAAATATTTTAGTTGTAAATTCTACCAGTCAGATTTTGCTGACTATGATTTTTGGACAGTAGAGATTTTAATTATAATGAGCTATTTGATATTTTCAGAACTTTTAACAGCGGGTATTAACTTACGTTGTGTATCTATTTTAACAGTTATATTTTTAACTAAAAAATGAAAATGTAATTTGTATTTAAATGAAAACCTCAGTCTTGGAAACTTCTGTGGTACGTGCCTGGAAATAGGACTCTTCAAATCCTGGTATTTATTACTTAGTTTCTTGTGGTTGGTGGCAGGCTTTCGATAAGCTAATAACTACTAACTACAGCTCCGGCCACAGAATGATACAATCATTTCCCATGATGTCCCCCTTAGCCAACCTAAGTTTATGCTGGACAAGTCTCTCATTTGTATACAGCCATACTAGTTATTATGTGATATTTTATAAGTTTTAACATAATTATCACTTGTCTTGTAAATCTGCACCTATTTCCTACTTGTTACTTACTGCTAAATTTATTTTTAAACAGATTAAGAAGTTCTTTGCAGAAGAATACTTGACCAGAACAAGAGGATCATGATGACAGTAAGATTCACCTGCTTAATGCTAATAGCTGTTGTGGGAGCTACTGCAAGTGAGACACAGGAACTGGAAGGCAATGATGAGGAAACAGAGCAGGAATTCATTTATATGAACAGATATAAGCGTTCTAGTGACACACAGGACAAATGCACATATACCTTTATTGTACCTCAACAGAGAGTGACAGGTGCCATTTGCGTCAATTCTAAGGAGCCTGAAGTTCTACTTGAAAACAGGGTAAATAAACAAGAATTACAGTTACTTAACAATGAACTTCTTAAACAAAAGAGACAAATAGAAACTCTCCAGCAGCTGGTGGAGGTGGATGGTGGGATTGTTAATGAGGTCAAGCTCTTAAGAAAAGAGAGCAGAAACATGAATTCTCGTGTCACACAACTCTACATGCAGTTACTACATGAAATCATCCGAAAACGTGACAATGCCTTAGAACTTTCTCAACTTGAGAATAAGATTTTGAACCAAACTGCAGATATGCTACAACTTGCAAACAAATACAAAGACTTAGAGCACAAGTACCAACATTTGATGTCGATTGCCAATAATCAGTCAGTAATAATTGCCCAACTGGAAGAACACTGTCAAAAAATGCCGTCCGTAAAGCCACTGCCACAAACTCCACAGCCACCAAACAAAGTGTACCAGCCTCCTACTTACAATCGTATTATCAACCAGATATCTACTAATGAGATTCAGAGTGATCAGAACTTAAAGGTCCTGCCACCTACCTTACCAACCATGCCTGCAGTCACTAGTATTCCAACTTCAACTGACAAACCATCCGGTAAGTAATTCTATTGATATGTCTACATTAGTTCATGCTAATATGCAGTGGGTAACATTTTAATTGTAATATCAAAAATGCAGACAGAATTTATTTATTTAGCAAAATAAATGCAGAAGAATTGAAGTAACTGAACTGATTTCTTAGGTCTGATGTTGTCTGTGAATCTATCTTGTGTATTTTTGATATACATGTTGTAGTACAAGCACAGAATGAAAGCAAAAAAAGGAATCTACAGATACAGACACACTAGCCCCACAGATCTTTCTCTTGGTACTTTGCCAGGACAAACCCACCACCTATACTACACGTATGAGATAAGCGAGACAGAAAAATCTCAGTCACCAGCAGTCAGTCATCTAAATTTTCTTTACCTGTGCCTATAATTCATGACATCTGAAGGGGTTTGAGAGTGTCTGTGTAAACATTTATGAAGTTAGTTATTACAAGTTTGTTGATGTAGCATGTGGTAATTTTTGTGCTTGTGTAACTCAAAGTAATACGTAACTGCTCCGCACCTCACACACGGTGACGATAACAGGAGATATTATACAGCCTCATTAAAGAGTCTTAGGAGTTCTGCCATAAGCAAGATTAGAGGCATCTGAAGTCCTATTAGAGATCAGTTGATCCACACGATAAAGAAGAGGTAAAGAACCCATTTCACATATGGTTCCACATATTTAAGAAAACCAGTTCATGTATTATGTGTCTCACACAAGAGAAGTCTACTCTGCAGTGTGTGGGCAACATGTACTTGCTTCAGAAACAAGATAGAGTACCCAATGTCAACTGAAAGATACAAATAGTAATATACATGAACTGAACTCAATATATTTCAAGGCTATTTGCAACATATTCCAAATGACATCAGCAAACTCTAGAACTATCAAATAATGCAACTGCCACATTAAAACAAAACAAACCACAAAAAAAAACCCCAAACTGCTATTTCTCCAGGGAAATACCCATGAGAGAAACTTGAGCAGGTGTTTCAGCCTAAAACCCAGCTCTAAAACACTTTGCTACAGAGAAGTTATTTTACAATATTGCCAGAGATGAACTCGCCAGAGACTGCAATGTGGCATGCAGAACCTCAGTCAAAAATACCATGATTCTAATGTTCTATGTCAAAAACCCAACCAAAAAAACCCCAACCAATAAAACCCACAACAACAAAATCCCAACACCAACAAAACTAACGAACCAAACACCCCCCAGGAGAAAATCAGGCCTATTACATTTCTTTGGAGCAATATACTACAGGATTGCCTCTTTAATAATTAGTCTGTGACTTTGATTTCAAGCTAGGTTTGAGCTTAGTACAGTGTTTTCCTATCTTTCTTTAAGCGAAATATCTTTCAAGCATTCTTTTAAGACCTTTTCCCTTCCTGTTAAACTCTTCTGAAAACTCATTAACCAGTGCATGTCCTCCTTGTGCTTTTAAAATACCCAAACTGAAGTCGAGGCTTCACCATCACACAGCAGAATAGAAAAGTTACTTCATATGCACAGTAGTTTTGTTGATCTATCCTTATACACCATTGTCCTTTCCTGCAAAGTAAAACCTTGACTCCTGGCTAACTTGCAACCCTGTAGAATCCCTAGATCCACACCTGAAGAAGTACTGCTTATCCAGCTACTTTTCACATCCATCTCCAGAGGTCCCTTCCAAAGTCCATGATTCTAATATAAGATCTGACATCTGCTACTTCAGAACAAAACATTATTATGACTACAATCTACAACAAGACAGTCATTCAGAAGTATTTCTCTGTCATGTTTGAAATGCCTCTCCCTACCTGCTATTATAATTTACTGTGTAGTGTTATTTAAATATATATTTATTATTTTCTCCATACTCACAAATGTAAGCCAAAACAACTTGCCAAGTAACCCAAAATAATGTGTTTCATTTGAGAGGCAAGGCTTAGAACAGTGTCTTGTTAAAAATGTCTTAGAAATATCTGAAGTGTTGCATATTTCAGAGACATCACAGACTATTGCCTCTAAGATGAGAGTAGCGGATGACCGCACAGTAACACATTGGCAATAAATCATAAAAACATGATATAGATAAGTTAAAGAACCCCAGTCTCATAGCAAAATGCTCTAGAGAAAAGAAACTGAAAGAATGCAGTATGAAATGTGGGCATCATCACTGGATATGAAGTAGTTTTAGAGATACATACTTTATAATGGAAAAATTAATCTCTCTGCAAGGACTGGTGTCACGCTTTGAGCCACACATTTCTCAAAGTCTCATTTTATGAGGCATAAAACCACCCCAGTATTCCTGTTGCTGGTTCTTTGCAAAAATAAAGGAAACTGTAAAAAAAAAAACACCACTTGGTTTTTATTCTGTGAAGAAGAATTTGCAATTTTATCCATAAATCATTTATTTCAAGTTCTTATTTGTGCATTCTTGTTTCCCACTCATGCCCAAAGGAATAAGTTGCGTAAGTTCAGTTCTGTCTGGAAAATACTGAACATGTACACAGCACTGAAACACTACAGAAAAATAAAAATGAATAATCAGTTAATAGCCAGTAAGTCACCTCATGTCAACACCAGAGATTCTTCAACATAACTACAGTTGTATTTCATTCCCTTCTTCTAAGCAAAATATGAATTCCAAAAAAATTTCTATAGTCCTTTTTAGGAACACTGCCTCTTAAACTTGCTTGAAAGAGCAAAAGCCTAATAAAAGACTTCAAGATTAATTGGTTTAGCTGTGACACTAACTACTCCTCCTTTCTGGGAGTTATTACCCAGGGGCTTGGGATGGGATGTAGGGCTATGACACACCAAACCCCAACAACTTTGCATGTGTTAATGCCCAACAACTACAAGTTTTATTATGCCAATGCAAATAGCAGACGTGGTTTATCTACAGTGAGTTTTAGTTTACAACATCAAAAAGGCCCCTAGGGTCAATAATTTAAGTAGACGTAAAACAGCAATTTACCAGAGTGTAGAATTCGACACACAACAGGACAAACACCTATGTGAAGTGCTACATTTTCTGTATAAAACAGACTTATGTGACTAGCTTAGCAAAATACTGCTTGGTATAAATTTGCTGGTGCAATATCAGAAGATGACTAGACCCAAGACAAATGAAAGCTGAACTGGAAAACTAAATTAATTTGATTCATCATCCTTACCCAACAAATCAACAAATCTTTTTCTGGGAACAAAACATTTAGTCATCAGCTATACCACTTATGAAATGCATGTTTCCTTGTGCAATTGCTACAGGAGACATTATTCCTAGAAAAATATGAACACAAGCTGGGTGATTATATTCTGCCAGATAAAACTCACAGGCAAACGTTTTAAGCCCATGCTGTATTATAAAAACTAAATAGTTAAGTAATAAGCAGCAAAGAGTAACGCTAAGGTTAATGCAATATTAACGTGCAGCTTATATTAATGTTATATGGTCACACACTTTATCAAAAGAGACAGTAGTATACAAAAACATACATAATAAGAGAATTATAAATTCATACTAATAATTATGGCTTAGTGAAGCAGATGCTTTAAACTGATACATCCTTCAGGATAAAAGGACATACTAAGAGAAATTAAGGCAGCAGCAGAAAAATCTAGATTAATTTTGATACGAGCATTCACTGAGGGGATACTTTTTGTGTTCCTATGCCAAGTTAGGGGCAAAGAGGACACTCTGCAGGATTTACCTCAGAACTGAAATGTTGATAGAAAAGGTTGTAAAAACAATGAAAGAAGTGAATATTAACAAACTGCAAAGAGTAAAGCACATCTACAAGAGTTCTAAAGGAAACTGAATATGAAACAATTAACTCAGTGCCTATGCCAATGGAGTCCTGGCTGACATACAGTTCGTATATATTTCCAGACAGTACTGAACAGGTTTCCTACTCAATGTGTTCAAATTAAGCTGCTACAAAGTACAAAGAACCAACCTCACATAAATAAACCATAAAAATCCCTTAATTAAGTTGTTGGGATCTTTTTTCCATGAGGCCAAGTTAAGTGCGGTGTCTGACAGATGTGTGCTGGGGCCTGTTGTCAGTGTGTTCCCCTTTCACTTCAGATTTCAGATGACAAATCTCAGATTACACACCTCAGTCAAAGTTGTGGAAAGTCAGTATCTGACAAAAATACACCTGTCATGGAAAAGTACCAGCAAACTCTGCTTTGAAGTATTTATAATAGTTCATCTTAAAGCACTTTCAGAGAACAGATTCATGTGCAGTAAAGCACTGTTACCATGTGGCCTAGAAAGAAACTGCAAGATCAGAAAGCTGTAAATGCCACATCATACACTGCTATGTATTTATTTTAATGAACAACATCAAAGATCTGTGGTTGACTATTTCAGGAGTTTCTTTAATAATAACTTTGAACGGACATGGTCTTTTTTTCTTGTTTTGTTTTTGTCATTTATTAGAGGTGACAACAGTAACCTTACATTCTTCATGTTGCCAATTCCATTGTTAATGTCTGTGCCAGTGACATTTTGAGGCATCTAAAAGCTGAATTTCTCCAAGACAGAAAGTCAAACTTGCTATTTTGTTTTCTAAAGGAAACTATTAATACTTATATATGGAGCCCTTTATATTGAGTTTCTCTGAAGATATAATCAACCTTACAACTGCAGCTGCTTTAAAAAAATAAATAAATCTACTAGTTACAACATCAATCTGTTTGAAAACATTTAGTGGGCATTGTACCTTCAATAAGAGGAAGAGCAAACGCACTATGTAGAAGAAGAAAGTGTACTGTAAAAAACTCCCAATTCAAATACTGCCCTGTATTAAAGGTATGCTCAATTGCATTTTGATGCAGAGTCCTTCTGTTTTGACACAGGGCCCTGGAGAGACTGCCTGCAAGCACTAGAAGATGGCCATGATACAAGCTCCATCTATCTTGTAAAGCCAGAAAACACAAACCAGCTTATGCAGGTCTGGTGTGATCAACGGCATGACCCTGGTGGCTGGACAGTCATTCAGAGACGGCTGGATGGGTCTGTCAACTTTTTCAGGAACTGGGAGACATACAAGGTTAGGACAAGTGAGCAGTTTAATATTTTCTACCATCTAAAAAGTATTTGGTAAAGTTAATTTAAAGAAGGATTCAAGAGTCTGGCGAACAGCTTAACTGAAAAGGAACTTGTGTGTTTACCTTTCCAGAAGAGGAAGTCTCTATAAAATAAGTTACTGTGGTTTCCTACTTAAGAATACACTGAGATTTACCATTAAACCAGATGCATAATAATAACATGCTTCTCCTGCTTCCTTTACAGCAAGGATTTGGTAATATAGATGGAGAATACTGGCTCGGACTAGAAAATATTTATTGGTTAACAAATCAAGGCAACTACAAACTGCTCATAACAATGGAAGACTGGTCAGGTCGCAAAGTGTTTGCTGAGTATGCCAGCTTCAGACTGGAGCCAGAAAGTGAATACTACAAGTTGAGATTGGGACGCTACAACGGCAATGCAGGAGATTCCTTCACTTGGCACAATGGCAAACAGTTCACCACGCTGGACCGGGACCACGATGTATACACAGGTACGAGGGCTCTTTCCATTGCCCTGGGATTTTTTGCTGTAAGGTTTTTCATGGACTCACAAGACTGAACTGGAGCTTTCTTTTTCTGTAGGTAATTGTGCTCACTACCAGAAGGGAGGATGGTGGTACAACGCATGTGCTCATTCAAATCTTAATGGAGTCTGGTATCGTGGAGGACACTACCGCAGTCGGTATCAGGATGGTGTTTACTGGGCTGAATTCCGGGGGGGATCATATTCACTAAAGAAAGTTGTTATGATGATAAGACCTAACCCGAACACATTCCACTGAAATTATTCTTCTCTAGGTTTTTTTTCTTGTTCTAAAACTCACATAAAGCTATAATGTTATTACCTGAAAGTATCTTTTCAGAAGTGAGGAATGTAAGATACTGTACATTTATTGCTAAGATATGAGGGTTTGTATATTGTATTTTCAGGAATTACTCCCAGAAAAAACAGCTGAGGAAAAAAAAGGAACTGAAATAATGTAACGTTCTGAACACCTCTCGGTACTAAAATAAGTTACATTCAGCCTTTTAGAACTGCAGTTTAGATGGACTGTAGATAAACTTCCTGGTGTTTATTCCCTGTAAATTAAGTCTGGATGGTAAAAATACTGCCACAACATTTAAATATTTTTGTATGTTATATTATGTATAAATATTCTCAAATACAGAACTGTACAGCAAGAGTTTTATTATTATTATGAGAAATCATTGACACAGGAAATCATATCCTTTGAACTGTGTAGCTGGTATATGTACATTAGTGTGATTATTCTGATTTAATCTTTGTTAACTGCCATGAATAAAGTTAGTACTATATCATTTGACTTGGAGAGCAGATTGTGATAAATCCAGTCTTTCCCTTCACTTTGAGCATTTTAATAATCTGCTCCTATAAATCAGAATTCACATTGAGTCAAATATTTTAGATTAAAAACACTAATGATGTTTCTTACCAAAATGAAGTTATTACCTGCATATGGAAATAAATCCAGATTTACAACAGATAGAAGGTGCTATATAGCCAACATGTTATACTACCCAACAACTGTCACAGGATTTTGTACCTGATTTCAGTCATTACCTGCTGTGTAGCCTCTGTAATCAGAAATGGCTGGATATAAATTAAAGGGACTATCCAACTTTGCAGGCAAACGATGGATACCAATATATAAGCTATTTAATATCCTTAGCCGGTAGCTGAAAATTATATAAAGAAGTTACCTGTAGCCAGGAGAAGTTATAGTTATCATATTTCAAATTATATTACTGTCAAATTATTAGATTTACTCATTTATGTAGAGGTCAGTCACAACTATGAAATAGGGACAGGGATGATTCTAATACTCTTCTGAGGTAGGTTTCTGGAGCAGATTGCTATAATACACTACTACGGAAAACAGAAGTTAAAGACTGCATATAAGAGGGAGAGCAAAAGCCCTTGGAAATTCAATATATTTTCCAGTCAGCCTGTCAGATACTGTGCATTCGTGTGCCTGTGCTTGCACACTATTTCCCTTATTACCTCACCAATTCTTTCCAACAGTATGATGTGCATTAAACTGACGTGTGATGTAGCATGTGTTGTATATAACTGAAAGTAGGGTTTTTAATATATTAGATTACCCCTGTAATACTGTAATTCTTTAATAAAGCAACGAATGTTATTTTGACATGTTCAGATTTCATCCTGTTTTTGTTCAGATTGCTCATAGGAAAAGAATAGATAATTACTTAATTCCACACCATTGCCTCACAGGTCAAATCAGTCACGTATCAACTCTTACACGCAACTACTGTTACCATGTAAGAAGTGTGCAAATACTGCAACATCAAAACCAAAGCATTTTTCAGCTGAGAAAAATACTAAATTTCCACAAATCCCAAAAAGGAAGAACATTCTGAAGGCCATATGAAACCCCTGAATTTTCAAACAGTATTGAAGCTTTATCTTCCACTGGTTTATCTACTGCACTTTGGAAAACAATTAAGTTTCAGGTGAGAAATAGTTAATGCAAGTGTGGAAAACCTTACTTTAAAAGAGCAGTAACACTACTTAGTCTTTGCAATCATCAGGGTGAGGCTCTCTGATGTATGAAACCTGACATGCAATATATGCAGGGTTCATGTAGCTAAAGCACAAGGCAGAATGATGTCAGATGAGGAAAAAGGTTGCATTTAGAAGTGGAGTGTAGGGTTATACCAATACTTTAAGATGTTTAAGACAACTCTTTATAGTGTATTCTGTTGGTTATAACTTTGTCAAACATTAGTGACTTGTGCTGAATATCTGTGATGGGAATTCCAGACTTAGTTTGATTTTTTTAAAATACATTCTTTCTGGAAGTCATATTTACAGAATGTTCAAAACAATTACTTCAACAGGACCATGCTCTGCATACGTGGACTGCTACAGGAAAAGCACTCTATGTGTCTCTTCTTGGGCACTGAAAATGACAATAAATTACCTTGAAGTTTATTACATTGCTTACAGAAGACATGGTTGAATACTTCTTAGATTAACTCTTCCTTTTAAAAACCTCATTACTAGAAAGACATTCCAGTGTCTGAATGGCCTTGTTTAACAGGAACCTGGGTTTTGCAGTGTTACTCAGGAATGCTAGCACAGTTCAGCAACAGGCAGGAACTGCAAGTTAGAGCCACTGAGGAAATCATGTCACAGTGTGCCTGCGTGAATAATACAAGGGAATACTGAAAAGACAAGTCAATTGATTGAACTGACTGTTCAGTTTGTATCTCTTTTCGAAGTATTTACAAGAAACTGACACAAACCAACAACTACAGTTTAGAGATGCCAAGTTATGAGGGATCTGAAAAAACACTACAGCAAAAATGACAGCTACAGGAATGAGGTCTTAAATCACACTGTACTCAAAGACACTTCTGAAATTCAATGTTCTTGTAAATGCTGTCCTCTTGATGTCTTCAGAAAAGGCACACTTATGTTTTCAGATGTCATTAATGCACAAAACTTCTGCAAGTCAGAGACCCTAGACAGTGTATAGCTTCAGAAATCTTCACCAGATCTAATTGTTTTAAATACGAAATGCAGTGAACCATACCTTCTCTCTACAGTGTTCTTCAGGTGCACAGCATGCTTGGCACTCAGAAGGAGCTCCAGAATAAAGAAAGTAATTGTTCACACTCACCCAAATATGGAATAGCAGGAACCATTTTTAAGCTTCTGATGTACTCTCGTGTCCTTTTATAATTATCTTCCTTAGACAGTAGGTAGTCTAACTTCTCAAAGGTGGTCTTGTCTTTGCGATTCAAAAGCTACATAGAAAAAATGAAAGAGATCATTAAATTTTAAGATGAAACCACAGAAAGAAAACAACAAATAATAAAATTTGTTGAATCACCCACAGTAAATGAAAGCAGAGTCAAGTTAGGATTAAACTCATCATCATTAATGCTTCTGTATTTGTAATAGGTCTTTATTCTTCCTTTCTGGCAATGTATTAATGACACACACAATGATTTGGATAATGGGATACTGATACACACTCTGTATGAGGGTCTTCTAAGAGTACTTATCAAGTAAAGTCCTCTCAAGTATATAAGCAGTGGCTTCTAGAACAGATAGGAAATACTGGTATATTTTCATAGCACAAAACCAAGACTATAAAGAATCTTCAGGAAATGCAATTTGACAATCCAGAAGAACTCAGAAACCCTCAGAATTCAAACAAGACAGAAAAGACAATGCTGAAGGAATAACTTACAGCCCAAGTTTTGGTCAGTCTGAAGATGGGTGCACTTTGCAGTGCTGACACCACAGACATAAGAGAATGAAGGTTATTCAGTTCCAGAAGCTTCTGAAAAAAGGGAATAATGGCTTTTAGAACATCAAAAAAGGAAAAGGAATTAATCAAAGGTGCAGTAACACAATACAAAGTTTTACTCAATGACTGCAGACAACACTAAGCAAAGATACAAGGTTAATTACACTGAACTGGGTAGTTCTCTTTTACCAAGTAAACCCAGTAGATGTCATACCCGCGTCTTATTCATGCTTTCAACATAGCAGATATGCTAAAAAATGAACGTTAGCCTCTGTAATCCAACAACAGTTCACAGGAGCAGTGCAGAAACAAACAAAAAGGAAGTAAGATTTTGAATGACAGTACAGGAAATTTGCACTTACTTTAGCTATTTTCACAAAATGGCTCAGTATTTCTGCCCTTATTTTTAAGGTCTGTGCTGTTAGTATTTCTCGTACAACCCAAAAACTGACCTATAAAGTAAACACATACAACAAAAAATATTCTTAAGTTTTAATTCATACCAGTAATTCTATTTGACTTTATACTCAAAGACAACTGTCAAACAGTACCTGTTCATCACAGTAATCAAGTCATTTACCTGGTTAAACCTCCTAGTAAAGGCAACAATATTTGGAGCGAGGATATGTTTTTCTTTCTTATTCCATCCACAGCTTGCTAGTTCCTAGGAAACACATTTAAAAATTGCCTTACAAATCCGTCATGTTTAAAAACATTTTAAAGTGCAAAAACTGATACATGACAGAAGCAGCTATCAGATGATTACTAAAACCAATTTGATGACTAGTCTAAGCAAACACTTCTGTGTTTTCCTGATGTACATAAATGATGTGATTTGTGTGTTCCCTGATACTAGAAAAAGAGACATAAATACTCAGATACCGAAAGCCTCAGCAATCAGCCACAATTGATGGGTTTGAAGTTTCATTCTGCATTGATTATTTCAGTCCAGGGTTCCCTCATATGAGCAACTCAGCAGACAAAAGAGTAAAAACTCTGCTAGTATATAACCTTACCTGGTTCAAAACTGAAGCTAAAGCTAAACATACCAATAAGCAAAATTAGTAGTAGTTAAAGAGTACAAAATTCAGCAGTGCAACCAGAGGTAGTAACTTAGCTATTGTTCCTGAACGTCATCCTCATTATTACAATTAATAAAACTTCCATGCAGACACCACAGCCAGAAAGAAAAATGTCCATTTTCCAACAATTATTTCAGGCACTTCCAAATATATTTAGACAGCCTGGCTCTTTTTAACTGCAGATTCAAGTTACCAACTATCTATACAGTCTTTATATTCAGATCTGACAAGTGGCAGATACATACGTACTGGAAACAAGTTCTCCATAACACCAGTTCTAAGTTACTCTTCTGTTTTTACAACCACAAATTTCAGTTGCAATCAAAATGTTCAACTTTCCAAATGTATGCTATTAACTTTAGATGTCTTCACATGAAAAGGCAGAGAGACAGCCAAGGAGAATTCTGCTGCCGAGAAGCACTTTGTACATTCTGATAAACAGAGCACACTCTTGTGATGTGGAGGTCTGCATGTTCCCATGTGAGCACCAGGAAAAGCATTTCCCGTTCCAAATGTATTTTGTATCCCAATGTTCCAGCATTTAAGCCTTCTGCAGATAAAAATGCCAATTCACATCTGTCAAGACACAGATTCTCCACGTGATCTGGTCTTAAGAGCCTGGAAATCACATGCTGATGTGGAAAAATCTCAGTCACTCTACTAGGGAGAGAAAAATCTACATTTATCAGAAAAATGGAAGAGGTCAGTAACCTAAGGATATTAAGCAGTTGCCAAAGGGCTAGTGAGCAACAATGGAAAATCCTGTGCATGGTAAAATCATTTGACTAGGTTTAAAATTTGGACTGAACAGGAAGATTGATAAGAGTAAGCGATCCAACATGCTCCTGCTGGATTTTTTCTAACATTGCTAAAAGGTACTGTGTTCTAGAATCACACTTCATCTTTTTGTATGGAAGGATGCAGGCAAT